TGCTGAGACAGTAAATCCTTTGATTTCAACCTTCTCGCACTTCAAAAGATTGACATGGAAATTTTTGCTATCTTTTGAAGTTACGTCCAAAATTTTGGAATTGGTGAGGAAGTGGAACCTCAAATTCTGCATATATTAAGAAAACAAATCAAACACAAATATGTTTATATTGTCAGGCTGTGAATCTAGATCAAGTATCATCAAGTCAAGAATTGATCAATGAGCAAGATTCGCAAATGCTCCTGTGTGACACAAGAAGATTTTCAAGTATATAAAACAACATGGTAGGATTAAATCATCTTACAATGTGTTTAGATTTGCATTGTCTATTTTTGTTGCAATCATTGTTTTTCCAAGACTGTGCTCCTTGGCCATCAAAAGTTCCACCACCTGACAAGGTGAGCCCGTCGACGTGGTCGAAACCAATCCAAGTGTCGTCCTTCGGGAGCTGGCTGCCATCTACTGGAGCCTGCAATGTTCCTTGGAGCTGGAACTCAATAGCCGCCTTGCAAGGTCCTTTAAAAGTTGTTCCTACAAACTTGAATGTTCCCTTTGGAACAACAATTTTACTCGGTGTTGTTGATGCACATGCATCTGTCCAAGCCTTCTCTAAAGCCTAATTAACATTACACAAATTTAAAACTGTTAATGATTTAGTTTGGCAAACAATTGTAGAAACAAATTCTAATCAGAACCGAATATGAATACAAATTTTTTTGTTACCTGGGTAATATCAGAGTCTGGCTTTCCACCATATTTTGCACTTGTCACATCTAAGGCAGCAGGTTGAGCTTTAGCTGTGGATGCTAACAACAAGAACACGAACATTGGCAAGACATTTTTCAGTTTCAAACCCATCTTGAGACTTTGTTATTTCCTTTTTCTTTGGAGTATGATGAAACTCCATTGCTTTCAGCCCAATTTATACTCCCATCGGAAAGCTCATCACCGTTAATATTTATTTGGCCAATTAAGAAGTTGAATGTTGGTCAACCATCCTATAATTAGTAATTAATTAAGCTGCTCAGCTTTAGAACATGAATTACCTACAATGGCTCTTGGCTCAATTTCTAATTTGGGCAAAAGATTTTTTCTTCCAAGACTATGTCAAATTAGAAAGAAAAGATTTATGACATGGATGACTTATAAACCAAAAGTACTAAACCTATTATAATCCAATTTGGTGCAAAGATTAACAAAAAAATACACACATACAATTGATTTTTCATAAACCAAAAATTGTTTATGAACGCACTAATCAAACTAATAAATTCTTGACCATAATTTGTAACAAAGCAGTCGTGACATGAGAAATAACTATTGGAAATTCGTTTTATATTCACATTGAAAAGTTAAGGGACCTAGCATATGGGTTTATAAGGAGTGAGTGAGGGTCTTATCTAAGCCATGGAGTCAACCTCTTTCAAATATATAATATGGATTCTAACTAGGAATTGGTATTTGAAGTGATAATTTGAACCGAATCAGGTTGAAAGAAAAAAAAATTTGGAAAAAGTCAATTTTGGCTTGAATTGGTTTGATTCTCAATTTTTACTGCATAGAATCGAAATGGACCGATCATATATATAACTATTTTTTTTTTAATGAATTTAATACCAAAATTCTAGCATTCTCATCTCTCAACCTCCCTTATCTCCATGGTCTCAACCTCGCTCATCGTCTTATAGGTCATTCACGCCTTCAACACTATCATCCACTATCTTTTTGTTGTTTCTCTTTAAATTCATTGATGGATTAGCGTAAGAGAGTTGGATTTTTATTTTTGGTCTTCAAGTGATGATGGGATAACTCAAACCAAATAGAACCAATTGGATTAAATCAAAACCGAACCAAATCAGTTATTTTCTTCGGTTTGGTTTTCGATTTTGGAAGTAAAGCAGACTAAACTAGACCATGCCCCAATCCTAATTGTGACAATGCTATGAAGTTTGAATTCTCATGTGGACAAAAATATACTTCTTCTTTCAACTTTTCGACATTCCCATTCATTACATGGGACTTTCTCCAAAACCTTTCCATTCTATCAACGAATGATTTCCTATTTGAGTTTTTTATTTATTTATGGCGGTGATCTTTGAGGGAAACCAAGGAATTGAACCCGTAAGGATTGTCAAAAAGAGACCCAAAATAAAAAAATCAGAAAAGATCAGCAGTCAAATCAAAGAGCTATTTGGATAGAAACGATTAACGAGTTTCCAATGATGACACTCAAATACTAATGCACAACATGGAGGAAGAAACCTTACTGTTACAAGTTATTTAACAAAAGAAATATCAGCCAAACCTCCATGAACTAAAAGTACTTCTTAAGAAACTAATTCAGGAACATTGAGGTTGTAAAATTTCTCACGTCCCAGATGTCAAGCTAAGCGACCTCAACTAGTTAAGTTTGCAGCTCAAGCATGCAAATCTTTTACGATAAACAAATTGTCTTAACTCTAAACTTACTACAACTTATAGAGCAAAAAAGCAATTTATGATCAGGATTGACACGCACCTGAAGTGACCTTAACTGGCCTTGAAGTGCAACTATTGATCTTTCATTGATTGAAGAGAGTGAAAGGTTTTCAGAATCCAGATAACTAATTCAATCTAGCTTATTTGTTCCAATGTAGATATTATTTTAGTGACAGACCATGTCAATCCCAGACCAAGAGCAAAGCAAAAAACTTATCCACACCAGGACATTCCAAGATCATCCACCACAGGAAAGGAAGAGCTAATTGTTTTCAAATGAGATGACAAAGATCCCACAAACTCGCAGCGAGGGAGACAACAAAAATAAACGTGCAAGGTCCAATTCTCATCTCAGCATCATAAAATATGAATTGCCTACTACTGAACATAACAACTCTCAATATTGCTGAGACAAAATTTTCACTTTCAACATTCGAAAGCAAAGGTCTTAGGTTAAGGAACCTGGTAGAGCTTTCTCAAGTATGATGAGGAAAAACAAGAAATTGCATAGTATAGTTTATCCACCTTTTTACCATGAGGGAGAACAGATGCATACATGCCATCAGACAAAATTCAACAACCCAACAAAGCAGGACATTTACACTCTATTTTAAGTTGGTTCGAGACTTCTGTTTGTAAAAGACATATATATGCATAAAATTCTTCCTTGCATTGTATCTGGACCTTGAGACATATAAAGTTTAGAATATTAAATTTTCGCATCATATTTGTTCAAAGACTCGCATTGTTTCATGAATGGTTTCTGTTTCTCTACTTGGTAAATTACATACGTTGTTGCATGAACATGCAGGAACCCTTCCAAAGTGGTGAAACATGTAGGAAGAAACCTATCTTCACAAGTTAGTCAACAAAAGTAATATAACTAGAGAAATTAATTAAGGAACATGTGAGTATGTAACTTCTGACATATTCCTAATGTCAGGCTAAGCTGGGCAATAAGGAAGCAAGTAATTAATAAGGTTCCTGACAACCCTGATCCTTTATCTTGCATTAGCAAGGGTATCCCCCTCAACTCTAAATTCTGACAACTAATAAAATTAGCATAAAGCATTAACTCGTACCAGAAATGCACTTCATTTCTGCTATCCAAAATCCCCACCCTTTAATGTCTTGAAGTTGAAGAACACTAGTCTTTCATGAGTGAAGAGAGTAAAAGTTTCCAGATAACTAATTGAGTCCAGCTTAATTGTTCCAGTATATACATATTGTTCATAGATCATGTCAGAGACTAGATAAACAGGAAAGCAATATACTTACCCGAACTGCACTAGAAAATTGTGAGATCAGGTCACAAACTCGTATTGACGGAGACAACAAACATACAAGACCAGAGTCCAAAACACATCTGTTTTTTCTTTAATAGTATCGATCTCACATTTTAATATCACAAAATATAAATTACATAATATTGAACAAAAAATTTTAACAACTCCAAATACTGCTGAGTGAAAAATATAAAAATTTTGACATTCAAAACCAAGATCTTAGGTTAAAAAAACTGGTAATGAGAGTTTTCTTTTAAGTATGATGTAGTGGAAAAAGAAGAGATTGCACAATTACTAGTTTATACACTTTTTCACTGATTGATCAGGGGAACACCTGTGCATATGTCACATGACAAAATCCAACAACACAACAAATCAGGACATTTATGATGCCTTAGCCTATTAAGCATAATGAGATTTAAATATGGGATTTAAAGTTGATCCTTATGCCTCCATTAAAGAGAGGTGTTGGGAGTGTTGGTAGTTTTATTAATAGTGTGCTGGTGGTGGGGTGGGCGCTGTCAATGGATGTGTTGGTGGTTGTAATGGTTGTGGTGATGATAGTGAGGGGTGGCAGTGGTGGGGGCGATGGAGGAGCTGGTGGTGGAATTGAGGTGGTGGTGATGGCCATGGCAAGGTAGTGGTAGTAGAGGTGGCAATGTGGCAATGGTTAGTGTTGTAGCTTTTTTTTTTCCTCTCTCAAAACTCTCATTGCCTAGGAATTTTACGGATAATAACACCTATTTAGATAGAATTTAAAGTTGGGATTTATGCCCCTCAAATTCCAAATTTTTGCAGACATGGAATTTATAAATTTCTTTGTTTACGAATCCCAAAAAGGAAATTAGTATGTCATTTAAGAAATTCTAATTTTTTTTTAAAATTTCCAAGTTTATTTTCGTCATCCAAATATACCATTAGACTCCACATAGTTCGAAATTGAATAAGTTGGTTTGAGATTTCTGTTTCTAAAGGGCATATATATCCATAACATTTTCCGCACATTATACCTAGGACAAGATATAGTTTAGACGTTATATAATACAAAAGATTTTAACCAAGGAAGGAAAAATAAAAATGTCTTTGCATCTGAATTAGTAGTCTAGACATAATATTTAGAAGGCTAAACTGATATTTTCACTATAAAAAAAACCTACGCATCTGAAAGTACTTCTATCAATTGACACAGATAGACAAAATAGGAAAAGAAATGCAACTACAAAGCAGCCATACAGCTTTATGACAATATGCAGTTTCACTTGTTTTCACAGCGAACAAAATGTGCAAGTTATACACAAGGCTAACTGTCAAAAAGATGTATAATTCTAAGTACTTCTAACCTACCTATTGAGCTTTCCACTTTCTAAAAAGTTCATCATACAAGTATTCCTTCCTTGCTTGGACGAGGTTCTGCTTCAGCTTTGACAATGTGGAAAATTCCAATTTGATTCCTCTTACAATCATATCCTCTGCGTACTTAACTGCTTCTGGGACCCTATTCAGATTGCCGAGCCCTACAACCAACAAATTCCCAGTATCCTCCAAGCCAGAATGGTAATTCTCTAGCATGCACTTCCAAACTTTTATAGCAAAATAAGGATCCCCAAAATCAAGGAAAGTCCTTACTGCCATATTACAATTAGCATGCTCTGGAACACACTCATTTTTAACCATCTCAGTAAACAAAGTCGATGCCTCCTTCAACTTCCTATTCTTGATCAACGACTTAAACAACATGTCATATGTTTGTGAATTCGGAAATGCCCCATTGTACACCATATCATCCAACATTCTCTTTGCTAAATCTGGATTTCCTTCACGACAATGTAAAGAAATCATCAAATTACACATATTTGTATCAGGTTGGAAACCAATTATCCCTACCATTGCCTGCCAAAGAGCCTCAGCTCCCCGAGAATCGCTATTCTTGACACACTCATCAAGCGCAAATCTGAAAAACTTGACCCCCGGATAACACCTCCTATCTTTTAAGGTCTCAAAGAACTTCACTGCTTCACGGATCCCATCAGGCCCCTTAAGCAAAGTATTCAAGAATGAATCATAAGCTGGCACATTGCTCGGGTCCCAACCAATCTCAATCACCATCTCAGAGAAAACCTGCCTAGCACAAGCTACATTGCCTTCATTTTCCCACCCCTCCAACAAAATCGCATACGTATCAGGGTCTGGCTTAATCTTATCCTTAGCAATACGCAAAAAATCAACGGCATCTGAAGTCTTCCCATCTCTACAAATTGCACTCAAAAGGGAATTCAATGCCACAATATCTCTAGGGCATCCATATTCGCTCATAACCTCAAAAGTCATAAAAGCCTCCTGGACACGATTGGCAACTACATAACTACTAAAAACAGAAGCAAAAGTGGCCAAAGAGAGTAACCTTTCTTTTCTCATGGACTTTATGGCGTCCCACATCGCATCAAAGAAGCAATTCTTGCCCAGAAGATCAACAACCAAGTTCCACGCATAGGGGCTGTGGTAGTCATTGAGATGGTGACCAGCCCACCTAAAGAACTTCACGGCGGGACCCGGAAAAGCGTAAGAGAGTTTGAGGACCTCTTCAACGTCGTCTTGGGTCACTCTAACACCAGTCTCTGCCAGGCGTTCCTCAACAGAAAGAGTGTGGGTATTGGCCACTATTTCACAGAGGAGTCTGATCTTGGGAGGTAGATTGGGTGTGTCAAGGTATGAGGCAAAGGTTGGGCGCTTAGGCATGGGGGTTTGGGGAACTGGGTTTAGGGGCAAAGGGATTGGGGTTGAGGACAAGTGGTTTTTCTGAATTGGGGTTGAAGAATTGTGGTTTTTCCGAATTGGGTTTGGGGAAGAGTGGAGTTTCTTGGTGGGTTGGTGTTTATGGCGATTTGGGTTTGAAGAAGAAGAGGGGGGAGGAGGTGGGTAACCATGGCGTCGTTTTCTGCTGGTCCTGGTCATATGGGTATTTGCAAGATGAACTGAAACAAGAGAATTCTGAAAGATTAAGAGCTTTGAGAACCCTAGAAGGGCATCTGGAAAACGAACGCCGGTTACGGAGTGCAGAGGTCGTCCCTTCCGGGCCAAAAAACGAAGAAAAGAAAGGGAACGTCTAAAAAATAGGGTTTTTATCACAAATGGTCCCTCAAGTTTGTTAAATTATCATATTTGGTCTTTTATATTACTCTTTACGAGTAATGCTATTTAGACACACAACATTGACCACTTTAGCTGACCACCTTATGTGGCAACTGATGTGTCATGCCATGTCAATTAATGAATGTTGCCATGAGGCCACTTACTAGGGATGCTAGGGTTTTTTTAATTTGTTTTTTAATTGACATGGCGATATTCATTAATTGACATGGCATAACACATCAGTTGCCATATAAGGTGGTCAACTAAGGTGGTCAATGTTGTGTGTCTAAATAGCATTATTCTTTACATTATTGGTCTGGTCCTTTATGTTAATCCGGACGCATCAATTTAGTCCTTACAAGTTTTGTCAAAATTTCTATTAAATTGATGACGTGGCACATATATAGTGCCATATATCCAATGAGTTAATGCCACATGGATCTGAATAAAACAATTATTTTTTAAAATAATTTAACATTTATTTTCTAAATAAAATTAGAAAACTAAAAGAAATAAAAGAAAGAGAAAAAAAAATGCAACTCTCCCCGCTCATTCTGCCTCCCTCTCCGTCCCCTCCTTTTATTTCTGTCTCCCCCACCCTCACTGACAAGACCCGCCCCGAATTTTCCTCGGAATCCGGAATGAATCCCGTCGTATTTCCAACATCATACTGATGTCGGGCCCACTTACTAAAGAACAAGACTTTCTGCCGAAATTTCAGCAGAGTCTCCCCTGAAAATTTGATTTTTTTCAAATTTTCTAACCTATTAAAAAAACACAAATTAAAACACCAACTGGCAGCATTCAACGGCAAGATTCAAATAATTTACATAATAGGCTTCCGGCGTCACCATCATGATCAGTTCATAATTGTATATCATTTTGTACCCTTCTAGCTTATGATTTGGTAATGTTATTGAGTTAAACTTGTGCTTTTAATCCCTTTTCTGTTTATCATTCAATTCATTGGGCATTAGGTAGTGTTTGTACCATATCTGACCCTCCACTCATACGGTGACATGCGGAATGGTTAGCTCTCCCAATCGCCCAAGACAACAACCAATCGGCATCAACTACCTATGGCTCCTAGGTAGAGTCCACAATCAGTACTGACGGACGATTCTGCAGAACAAAACCTCGAAGGCCCTGCCCTAAATATCCAAAGACTCGTGTCAACCTCGTAGGACCTTCCCACGAGTCCCACATCGAAATTAAGCACTAAGAGCATACCAAATGCCCTCTATAAATAGGCCCCTTCACTACAATACAAGGGGTAAGACTTTTCAGCTTGACTTTTATGCTAAATACATTATCAATAGCAAAAGCTCTCAGAAATAAACTTACTTCGACATCGGAGGGTCTTAGGCTGGTTCCATAGACCTCACGGGCCTTAACTTTCCTTGGTTCAGGATCGGCATCCCAGGACAGGAAGAATCCGCATCAAAGCACTCAATCGATCTCTGGATCGTCCACATCACTTGTAAGTTTCACTCATCTCTATCTGTTCAGTTTTAGTGCAAACAGGTAGCAATGGTGGCTTTGAATTGGAAAAGATGCAAAATGGTGTAAAAACGAGTAGATTGAGTTAGGAATTTGTTTCAACCTTAACTTCTTCATCCCAACTTGTATTGGCCCAAATAATATGTGGTTGGAAAGAGGAGATTCTGAACTGCAAGATGGACTGCTAAAACGTATCAATTGATGAAGCCAAGCCCAATCCGTGGGCCCATCAAAATGCACACCATGCTCAGGATTGCAGCTGCCAACTTTTGACCCTTGTCACCTCCTTTAAGCCATGTGCCTCACCCCAACTGTAATTGACTTTGGACCCAACATATTGAGTAAAGTAGGGAGGCATTCCAGCTATGAAAGTTTAAAGGAGGGAAAACAAGGCATTGTGGGAAACATGTTTAGATAAATCAAGAAGCACTTTCCAGGCTGCTGGTGGGATTAGTTGGTACATGCTGGAGCTATTAAAGAGAAAGAATGTGCATGCATGTGAAGCAAAAAGAAAGGAAAGAAATGAAATGAAGTTAATTCCAGTCTATTTTAGGTAGTCAACTTGTAAGGCCCAAAACGTATACTTGTACTGCTCATATGGGAATACATTCTTCATAAAAGTTGTTCCAATGGGTGTCTATTATGACATATCCAAATTTGAGTCCCATTGGATACATATTGAAACCTCAGGCCTTCCTACACCAAGCCTGGTTTAGAAGAATCGTTTTTTTTCCAGCAACCAAAAAAAAAACCACATGGGTTGGCAGTAAAAGGTAGCCACAATTGAACACCTTTGAAAACCCATGTGAAGAAAGCTTGAGGTGCAGCAGCAAAAGAAGTATGGGATGGAATTGATTCCAACCACACTAACATAGACAAGATGAAGTGAGAGTTATGGATTGTATTAAAAGAGGAATGATGGTGTTGGAATTCATCATGATGTTCCTTCCTCTTAGCCCTATAAATAGAGAAGTCTTCAAGCTTCAAAACACTCCCATCAACCCCATACACTCTAGGTACACAGCCTGGGATTCACAACCCCCACACAATTCACCCCAGCCATCCTCCACACTTCCATCATTCCATTAACACATCCAGAAATCATCCTCAAACATTCCCACAACCCCAAACATTCCGGCAATCAACCCAATACTCTAAACTGCCCAAAATCACCAAAACAGCTCCAGAAAGCCTCCCTTCCATTTCCCTACGAATTTCCTCTTTCTCAGCCATCACCACTTACCCAAACTCATCCCAAATCACCTACTAGCTGTCATACATCATTCTAGACGTGAGGAAGCTCTTGGAGAAGCATTAGACGTGGAGAAACACTTGAAGAAGTCTTGGACACCATAAGAACTTCAGAAAAGGGGTTTTTCTACTCTTATTGCATTCCTTATGTTTTCTCATTTCTATCTAAGTTTCTTTTCCATTATGAGCAGCTAATTTCATAACTAGGGCTTCGATGTAACCTAACATGAATATTCTGGGTTTATAAGTTTGAAGTTTGGAGTTTCAAGTTGGATTCATGATTCATGTTCTTAATCATTATGCTTATCAGTTGATATGCTTGTTTGAATGATTGATCACCATTAGAACTTGTATGGTTTGAATTAAGAGTAGACACCATGCTTTAATTCGAATTGAACTATGAATAGGAAGAGTATGTACGGACATTCGACAACAGGGATTAGATACATGATTGGTTGTTGAAATTGTTCTTCTATGTTTAATGGGTTCCTAATGCTTAATTTTAGGTTAGACAACAGATAATCAAATTAGGGAATTAGGAATACACGGTTAGAACCAAACACCATGGCCTAATCATACTTTAGCTAGAATCAATCTTTGAATATGAATTAGACTTGTTACTTGACGCCTTATAACCCAGAATTGAATTGTTATGGTGATTCGAATGCCCTAGTCTCAAAATCTGTTTTCCAGCTCTTAAAACCACTCTTTGTTACACTTACTTACTTTGCTTTTGTTTGCAATTTCATTTTGCTTCTTTTGTTCAACAATCACAACCACTCTCGCTTTAAATTCTGTTTTAGACATAACCTCCTACTTTCTTGAATTTGGTAATCTAAGTACATAACTAGTTTTAACTTCTCAGTCTTCGTGGATACGACCTCGTACTTGTCTTGCTATATTACTAATTGCCCCGTACAATTGCGAGTTAACATAATATTAACAACACATCATACCTTAGTACGGGCGATAGCAGAGTATAACTTACATAATTCCTTTTAGAAACGAAACAGGGTTCAACATAAGTAGAAATTGATAAGGATTGCTCTAAACAAGCTCGGGCTTCAAGTCACCGATGAATTCAAAATCAAACTTAACAACTCTAACCAATCGGATTCGATTCCAATGACTAAATGAAAGTCCACAAAAAAATATGGTTTGTCTTGCGGCTGCATCTGGATGAGACCCTAAGCTACCTACGTACCCTTACTGAGGGATCAAGTCACATGTAGTTCTTCCAACAAAAATCCCAGTTCAAATAACATACAATCAATTATAGCAATACAAAATAGTAAATTCTAGATTTATCCCTTTCCCTTTTCTTTAAATTTCGTCATACCCATCATAGTCCCTTATTCATCTCCCTATTATTTTACTACACGTTGGAAGGTCCAACGCCACGTGTGGTAAAATAACGGTGACCCAAATACACGGATCTTTTACCACACGCTGGATAATCCAATGCCATGTGTGGTAAAGTAACCATAATCCCAATGAGCACACACGCCGGAAAATCTAACTCCACATATGGCCCAACCGACCTATATTATATGTGCGCAAACTGCTTTATTACACGCCGGATAATCCAATGCCACGTGTGATAAGCTAACCACATAACTATATATGCCCACATGCCAGAAGTTCCAATGCCACGTGTGGCCAAAATCAATCACTAAGTTGACAAACTTTATCACACGCCGGAAGATCCAACGCCATGTGTGATACTAACAACAAAATCATATATGCCCACACGCCGGAAGTTCCAACGTCATGTGTGGCCAAAACCAATCACTAAGTTCTACGCACGCAGACAAACTTTATCACATGCCGAAAGATTCAACGCCACGTGTGATACTAACAACAAAATCATATATGCCCACACGCCGGAAGTTCCAACGCCACATGTGGGTACAACAACCAAGGGAGGGTACTCAACATAATGTAATCCTATATTCACAAATCCAAACAATAGAGTGCCCCATCCTATATTGATCTCTTGCCCATTTATTTCATCAAAGAATGAAATATCAATTTCTCAACATATATAATCCGTATTCCGAATAATTACAATCTCAAATATAAAAATAATAGAAATATTCACAATTTAGCGATCTACTTATATATATATATATATATATATATATATATATATATATATATAATCATTCCATGATCATAAAATCAATAGTAGATTGCATGGTAATTTAATCAATGGAAATAATGCTATTTTAAACCAACGATCATTCACATGAGCATAAATTTCATAAAGATCTTAAAACAATTTAAATAGAAATCACACTTGTTTTCACATAAATTCCATAAAATACTGTACCCCACCATTAAAACATTATACTTTATTTATAATCATAATAATATTAATTAATGATAAGTAATAACCTTTAAAGAAAATCCCATATCGAATCAATTTCCAATCTAAACTCATTACTCAAGAAATTCCATATTAAAAAAAAAAAATACTCTTAAAGACAAATGACCACTTAAATACTAATAATCATAGCTGAGACCCAAGACCCGCTTTCAAAACCCATCGATCCAGTGTCTCATACTCGACCATTCCACAACTTCAATTATCAAACTAATAATCCAAGAATTGATACGATATTATAAAACCATATCAAAAACCCAACATAGTCAACAAAACTCAAATAACAATCAAGACTCGTTTACAAGGTTATTCTAATACTTTTCGAAGGGTGAAACTACCTCGAAAGACTCATGGTCAACCGAGGGTCAAACTTTCCAAATTTGGTCAAGCGGGCCCGCGGGGCCCAACACCTCGGTTTTACGATCCGAACATTCCTATGGGTTCCACAAGGTTTAGGAAATACGTCTTGCAAGCTTGGTTCGGATCAGACGGTCGGATCGCTCGCAATCGCACGATTAGATGATTATCGTAAAATGCATAAATTTCTCCTAAATATCACAACCAGCAGCTAGAACACCTCAAAAGGATGAGAAAACATACTTGGATCGCAAGATTTGGCCTTTGGAATCACTCGAACGAGCTTCCGAAAATTTAAGTAAAATCTGTAAAAAACCGGCCGGATTTCTTGAATTTCCGGCAGCATGGTTGAGTGGTGGAGGTGGTGACGGGGTGGGGTAGAATGGGGGAGGAGAGACGGTCCTTTTGGGACCGATGCTGCCAAGAATGGCGGTCGGTGGTGGCTCTTGGAAGCCACCGGCTGTTCAA